AGCCAGCAGACAGACCATTTGAACAGAGTGTAGGACCAGGTAAACCCTGATCACTCAGAGGCCTCCTCTGGACTCAGCTGCATGTTAGCTGTCCTCAGAGCCACAAGGAGAGAGAGAAAGGAGCCATGTTGTTTGGAAATTGAGGTTGGGGAAAGAATTTATAGTCCAGTTTCAAACTGTGGTTTTATTTTTAGGAAGCCCTAGCACAAAACACTGATTGGCTGACCTGTGTTCTTGATAACGCTCCCTAATGCACTTAGGATGTAGTATTCTCGAACATTCCAGACTCCTTTCCCTCAACAACAATTCAGAGTACCTCAGACTTCGCTTTCCCCTTAGATTCACCTCGTTTCAGATTGTAGTGCTTGATGTACCTTGTACAGCAGGACTGATGTTACCTTTAAAACTACTTACGTTTTGCTCTTTGCACTTGTTTTGGCCCTGCCTGTGAGATCCTCTAGTGTAATCACCCATGTCTGCTTGTACGATTTTTGTTCCCCTCAGAGCTCTGTAAACCACAGAGTGAGACTGATGAGGATTTCACAGCCCGGGTGGTTTTCTCTCTGCTTTCCTATCAAGAAGTTGCTGTAGCACAAGGCACCAATGAGTCATTTTGTAGGACTTTTGCTTTCTGTTTTTTATAAAAATTAGGTATGGTCATGAATATAGCAACATCTCTTAGCCATGAGCAGCAGTAAAGCAGGATCTTCGGTGTTAGCTGAGGTGGTGGAAAATGTAACATATTGTGTGTTTTGCTAATTGGTTTCCCCAAAGAATATTCATTGATTCAAAATTTCACTTCCATAAATTTTAATTGCTTGTACTGAGGCTGACAAAGTTCCTGAGCTCCTGCAGCTTTGTGTCTGTAATTGTCCTGCTAAGCCACTGAAACCATCAGAGAGAGAGACAGAGAGACAGAGAGACAGAGAGACAGAGAGAGAGAGAGAGAGAGAGAGAGAGAGAGAGACAGACATAGAGACAGACCTCTTCCCAGTGCCCCAGATCTGATGGGGCTCTAAGTTGGAGTCTGACTCCCATTTCTCTTGCTGAGACCTAACAGCCCCACTTTGTGAAGGTAGGCAAAGGAATACAGCCAGTCTTCACTTTAGTTTGAATGAAAATGGAGCCTCCTGCTGTCAAGACAGAGGCTGCTGGGAGTGAGCTCAGCTCAGAGCAGAGCATCTCTGGCAAGGTGCCAGCCTTCTGTCACACGGCATGGCCATGTCAGAAGCATCCCTGGCAGGCTTGGTCTTGGTTTACACAGGACGGTTCTGCTGCCTGCGTGAGAGAGTCATGGGAAGACACACAGAGGGTGGCGGAGTGTGTTTCCCCCGGCGTGGCTCCAGCCCTGGTGGGGCTTTGCAGCCTCCATTCATGTTCTTCCTGGGCTGGGCCGTGGCTGGGGCCCAGCATCACCGTGTGGCGCTGCCTTTCACGTCTGTCACAGCTTCCCACTGATGGCTGCTCCCTGTGTTTACTGTCATGATAGCTTCTGAATCTCATTTGTTACCTTTTTGCTGTAAATGTGGCTGACTCTACTACTTTTTTCACAATGTGAATTGTTCTTTAAATACTGAGATTTATACTCTGTGGATCCATTTTTGTGGTATTTATTTTAACAAATTTATTACAGTAAAAGACACTGGCATTAGTCCCTCTCAAAATACTCCTCACTTCGAATCTACTTACCCCTTTCTGACACTGTTGAGGTGACAACATCATAGAGATGGTAAAAGCCTAGTGGCTGCCTGGTGGCAGGAGGGCTAAGCATGTCGCTCAAGATGACGGGTCTTTGGGCCAGCACCTTGTGTCGCGGCTCTTGGCCGCGCTTGCGCGGTGCCTATGTGTGATCAGATGGCTGAGAGCCGCGCGGACCTTGCCACGGACGCCATTGTCCTGTCTCTGATGTTCTCCTGTTCGTGTGTGCTGTGTAAGCAGTGGGGGAGATGCAGTGAATGAAGGCCCGGGAGGCTTTCGCAGCGTCTTTGCAGCTTCCTGTGAATCTATACTACTGATAAATTAAAGTTAAAAGTTGTTCTGTTCTCCGTGTGCGTGCTCAGGTCCCTTTGTCTGCCCCATCGGCCCACCCTGGCGTGCTGTTGCTGTCCCATCAGTCACGAGCATTCAGCGCCCTCCTCTTTCCCTGCTTTGGGGTTATGGGACGTGGACGCAGTGTTTGAGTTATCCTGCGCCATTGGCATGCTGCGTGGGCTGATGGCGGGTGCACTGCTGCTCTGTGGAGAGCAGGGCTGCACTCCTGGCCTCCTGACCAGGCATTCTTTCCTGCTCACTTACTTGGTATTCCTTGCCTCTGGTTAAACTGTTGGCGAAGACCGAGCAGCCAGCCTGGGACGTGCCTGTGGATCTTGGGACCTGCGCCTGCCCGGGCCAGGTGGTGTGCGCCCCTACAGGCAGTCTCAGAGCCCCAAATTCTGCCCCCAGGGGCCACGGACAGCTTAGTGCCCTAGGGCCAAGGTGAGTCGGAGGCTTGGGTGGTGCTGCTGGGTGCTGTGCAGCCGCACTGCTAGGATGGTGGCTCTCTGATCTTGTGGTTCCCTCAGCTCCCGGAGCTGCCACTGCGGGGTTGCTACTTCGCACTGTACTGTCAGGTTTGCTTCCTGCACTGGCAGCACTGTTACTGGGGTGTGCACAGGGTTGTGACAGTCCCACCTTCCTTGTGACAAGCTGGCCTGAGTTCATTCTGTGCAGTGACCTCGGGGTCTGTTTCTTTAATCCTCCCAGGCTGTTGGCCTTACTTTCTTGGCTGTGTCTCCTCCGCATCTACAAGCAGCAGATGGTTGGTTGGATCTTACGTCTTGTCCTTACCCTTTTTGCCTGCCTTTTCTCCAGTCTGCACCCTTAGCATGTAATGCCTGTGTTGCTCTGCTTAAGTTCAGGCTTCCTGCACTCTTTGCTGTTTGTCCCTTCTGTTTTTTGTTCCTCAGAGCTCTGTTCTTTTGGGTTATATGTTCTGTTTTAAAATGATTTCGAGAATCCGTTTGGACTGGTGCTTTGGATTTTCCAGCACCTGTGTGTGCACCCTGTGCACGCGAGCCCGTGTGCCCTGGGGATTGTGCCGGCCTGCCCTGACTGGGTCATTGCTGTTTGTGGGGCTGACGTTGAGTTGTGCACACAATGCGTGAAGACCTTGCAGCTGCGCACGGTCGCTCACCTGCCCTTGTCATGGATCTCCAGTTACCGTGTGTTATGTTTGTGTACATTCTAAGTCCCAGAGTCTTTAAGTATCTTTAAAACCTGTATAGGAAAAGCAGATTTTGTTTGCAGTTCCTGGGGCCCGCCAGTGCTCTTGCATGTGTGTGTTTCCATCTGCTCCCACTCAGGTAGAACTCTGTTTAGGTTAAGGTACTGCAGGTCTGCTGTGGACAAATTTTAAAATCTTCCCTTATCCAAAAGTTTATTTCACCTTCATTTCTGATAGGCTTACAGGCAGGATCTAGAGGCCTCGGGTGAGAGTTACCTCACTCCCTTCATTCTAGGTAGCGTTAGTCTTACTATGGTCTCCTTGAGTGTAACGCCCACCCTCCACTTCTTTTGGAGCAATTATAAACTCTTTACCACTAACTTTGAGACTCTTCACCCTAGTTGGGAAATTCTCTGTCTTATACCTTTTTTTTTTAAATGCATTTTTTTCCTTTGACTTTTAAAAGGAATTATACACGTTTGCTTTTTGCTAGTGCCCTTTAATTCCCTGATGCTCTGTTCATTATTCACATCTTTAGATTGGATTCTCCTTTACATCTTAAAGCTTGCTTGGTTGTCTTTATGTCGCCATGAGTGAATTCCGTTGCTAGAGTCCTCTTCTGTTGGGTGTAGGTTTCCTGTGTGTACACGTAGCGGGATTTTTGAATTGTATTGCATTCCCTTTTAAATGATACTTAATGTAGACTATTGACTGCTCCTTCAAAGCAGAACTGATGGTTTTGTCTTAACAGGCAGGTGATTTTGCTGAACTCAGAGTAAGTTAGGCCTTGCTCTGGCTGCGTTCGCACAGCAGCTGAGTCTGGGCTCCTGCTGCACAATAGGTGACTGCCACAGAAGGATACAGACACAGGCCTGGCCTCGGAGGCGGCAACCTGGTCAGTGGGTCAGCGTGAAAAGCCCCTGCAGGTCTCGTGAGAATTTTCCAGAAACAGTGGAGTTACTGGTGAAGGAGTGTTAGGATTGTTGAAATGCCACTTAAAAATCATTTCTGAGACAACTCAATCCTTTTCAGAATTGAAGGTCATTTATTTGTGATGCCCGATTGATGATGAGTGTCTGCTGCACTTGGAGCACCCCTCACGCTTGTTAAGAATGGCTTTTGAAAGGATATCTCATTGTGGGGAAGAAGTATTAAATACCAAAAAATGAACGTTCAACCTTGCTGTTGTTTTTGATATTCAGAGACAGTGTCTTGCTATGTAGTCCAGGCTGACCTTGAACTTTCTGTGTAGCTGAGGGTGGCCTGGAACTCAGGACAATCCTCCTGGTTCGGCCTCCCAAGTGCTGGGATTACAGGCATGAGCCACCATGCCTGGCTGAATGTTTAACCTTTGAGTAAGCAAGGTGTGGTGGCACACACTTGGAATCCCAGCCCTTGGGAGGGTGAGGCAGGAGGACTGCTATGAGTTTGAGGCCACAAACAAAACGAAACTAAAACCTCAAACACCCTGCAAAACCAAATTTTTTTTAAAGTAATGCATTAAATGGGAGGAAATAGGAGTCTATAAATGATCAGAAGAGGAAATCTTAGTTATTGCTGAAATGAAGTTATCAACATCAAAAAATATCTTTCGAGAAAAGGTATTTTACAGCTGTTCCAGAAAGATCTACTTAGACTTATTGAAAGTGAATATTCAAGTTTTCTGTGTCAAATCACTAAGCTGTTTTAGTTATTACCCATTTACAGTTACATCTGTATATGTGAATGAGTGTCATGGGATTTTTTGTAAAAACATGACCACATTTGTACTAACTGAAGCCTTTTTCTATTTTAACAGTGTATCCTACTCAGTACACGTATCTGAAGATTATCCAGGTATGCTTTTTCAATTTTTTTATTATAAGTGTTCATCTCATTACTTGCAAATATGTTTTCCTTCTGGCTGAATACAACAGATACATATTGAGCAGAAGCGCTCTGCCAGCTGTGTGCAGGGCGCCTGCCTCACGGTGAGACGTGGCCCAGGGTCAGCGCCACTCCCAGGGATCCAGGGTGCGGGTGGCAGTGCCAGCCTCAGCGCTGCCCTCCCTCACTGCCATCAGGCGGATTTCTGAGCTTGACCTGTGACTTTGACACTTCGTTTGGTCTCGCATAACAGAAATCCACCCTGCTTTACTTGTTCCATCCCTTCTGTGTGCGTAGGTGCATATATACTTACATGTTTGAGTTCATTTTAAAAATAATCAGTTCACAATTTGATACGGGCATTTTGCCTTAAGCATTTAATCATTTTACACCTTAAAATAATCTTTCAAGCCATAAGCCTCCTTGCTGTTGCTTCGCTACGCAGCCATGCCTTCCTGCGAAACTCTCACACAGCTCTCTAATGGGATTGCCTTCCATTTACGTGCTCATGCTTAATAGTGATGTAGAGAAGTATTCCAGGAAGGCCTTGGTGGGAGCATGAAGACAAGAAATATTGCTGAGAAAATTATTTTTTGAGAGTGGTAATATCCCTCATTACTGGAAACTGTTCTTGATGCTGAGTGTTGGCTGTTTGCTTGGAAAATGAAAGCCCCATTATTTTTTATAAGTGATACTATGGCCTCCGCAAGGCGTCTTGTAGGGCTGTAGCCACAAGAGGTGCAGACCTCCATGGAGATGGTGCTGCTAACTCGGGCCACAGATCAGAGCCCACGGAGACCCCAAGCAGAGGTGTGGGGGCCGGGCCTTGGCTCCATTGCCTCAGGTGCAGCGCCCTCTCGCGGCCAGGAGCGGTAGTCAAGATTTTTCTCACCGGAAAGCCCAACTTGGAAATTTTTTTAAAAATTGAATTTTATTTATTTATTTATTTATTTGTGGAATCGGGGATTGAACTCAGACCTTTGCGCTTGTCAGGGAAGTGCTTATTCTACTGAGCCATCTCCCCGGCCCCATAAAAATTGAATTTTAAAATAAAGCATTGGTTATCTATCATTTGTGTCTTTTTAAAGAAACTGAATTCTCTCCTTGGAGGAAGGGTTTAGTGAACTTGCAGCATAATTCCATTTCCAAACACACAAGATGGGAGAGGCAAGTGTCCGGGCTGGAAATCTGAGGCACGGTTTTAATCTGGTTCCGCATCTGCAACCCCAGCGTGCCCTGCACGGGCCCGGGCTTCCACCTGTGTCCACAGGCGTTGCTCGCTTCCTCCTGCTTGCCAGCCCGCCTGACAGCACAGCAGGGGCCGTCGCGTCTCCTAAGGAGTAGTCGTCTGACAGCCCAGCAGGCTGCAGCTCAGTCCTGACCCTGCCGCCTCTGCACAGGGCGGTCCTGGGGCTGCTCCGCAGGCTTTGTTCAGAGGGATCAGAAATGCACTAAGACTTCCCATCAACAAGTATTAGTCCGTATTTGTGCTAAGAACAGTGATGAGGCTTGACTTTTTGGGTAGACAACTTTTTCCATAAATGTTCGCCCTCCCATTCCAATGCATATACTTCCGTAGCCTCCCAGAACCAGCTGGGATAATTTTTAACAGTGAATCTGGCAGTTGCCATCTTTGTTCCTTTTCTCAAAATTAATGTTCTTTTGGTTGCTTTCAGAATAAAAGAATTCTTTTTCCAGTGTACCTTTCCAAAACATTAATAGCAGTAAATCTTTATCAAATATCTGCTTGACATCTGTTATCATGTCTATTTTTCTTCTTTAAACAGTGAAGTGACAAATTATCATAGGGACCTTACTGTTGACTTACAAGGCTCACTCGTGCTTTGCCACACATGGTGGCATTCTAGGCGTCCTGCTGCTGACGGAACTAATCTGTGTGTTGGCCAGTGGACGGACGCCGCCTGAGCCTGGAGTCTTGTTTGGGATGGTTCTGGGGCAGCGGTCACATTTTTCTTGCACGGTTGTTACTGGGCTCTTATTTTCAGTTTTAATTATATTACAACATGTGTTATTCTTAAAAGTCACTACGTTCAAATTTTTAGCAACAAAACAAAACAGTGTTAGTCCTGGAACATTCTCAACAGAACCTAGATAGCGCCCAGTGCCAACGGGTTCACTCAGCTGCTGCCGTGATCCCAGCTGTATCCCTCTGTGCTCCGACCCACCTTCTCCTGCACGACACACATTTAATGTTCATGAGACCTGAATACTTGCATTTGTGGTATGTTAGGCCGAAAACAAATCAGGAGACCAATGGAGGGAGGTCTCAGACTGAACCCAGGACCTTCCCAAGAGTACGTACCAGCCCTTCTTGAATTCTGTTTCTATTTTGAGGCAGGGTCTCACTGAGTTGCTTGAGCTGGCCTTGAACTGGTGGTCCGTTCACATCAAGCCTCCCTGAGTGGTGGGTAACAGGCGAGTGCCCCTGGTGCGGTTCAGGCACGATTCTGATCTGTAGGGCTGTTCGCCCAATGCATGTCCTCCAGACTATCACCTCTCTGCCTGTGGTTCCAACTCTCTTCGTGGGTTCTGTGGAGTGAAGGTGTTTTTCTTCTGTGATGAATTGGAGAGAGTTTGTGTATTAGTTCATGTAAGACACTTTGAAAAGAAAGTATTTGTGGTTGAGCTGCTCGCTGTGCTAGTCCGTGTTTCGGTCTCGTCTCTGTCTCTGTCTCTCTTCCTGAGGTACTGGGGATTGAAACTAGTCTGTTTTCTTCTTAAGTGTATTGTTTTTCTTTGCTTGCCTCTTAAGGCTTTTTAAAATAAAATCTCCAGGATCTTGTGACACAGCGTGGAGCCATCTACTTTGGGGGCTGTTGTAGGTCTTTCCTTGTAGTCCTGGTCAGTCTTTTCCCCACACATAGCCGTAGTGCGCTTCGTAACAGCCTTCTCCTGATGTTGGCGCATGGAGTCCTCTGTGCTTAGCAGCAGGTACCTTTGAGCCAGGAGCCACTCTGCGGGAAGTGCCGGGCCCTCGGCCGCATGTGCATGAGTTGTCGGCCTCCTGGTCATGTACTGGAATCATATGTACAGTAAGGTGATACTAAGTCTGTTTTTTATCCCCGTTATGCCACTTGAGAAATGTCAATAGTTCATAACTTCTTTATTAGTGTTTGAAAGATGAAATACAGCAAAATCTGTGATTAACAGGTGCAGAGAATGCAGCCGTGATTTGTGTTACGTACAACTGACATACCCTGTTCCTTTTCCCCTTCCTAAAGAATGGCTGGAGCCTCTTGTCTGTTGAGTCTTGCAGTTGAGCTGTATCCTGCCATTTGCTTGTTCTCTGGCACTAAAAATAGTACAGAGATTTGTTTTTAGAAACAAAGTAATGAATTAGATATCTATCAATTAAAAGTCACATTTGCTCTGTGCTGACAATAGTATGAGAACGTGGTTCAGAAAGATTCTGACGTTCATTTGTTCAGTCATCGGAACACTAGGTAACGTTTTCATTACTTTCTTCTTTTTTCTGGTCTTTTTGAGACGGGGTTTCATATGCAGTTCAGGCTGGCCTTGAACTTGCTTTATAGTCCAGGCTGGCCTCAAATGCAGCACGATCTTCCTGCCTCAGCCTTTCAAGTGCTGGGATTATAGGCGTGCCCACCATGCCCATCCTTTGGAATTTTTTATGTTTTAGTTATCCCATTTAGTAAGTCACAGATGCATGCATTGTAGGACTACCGCTAGCAGATGTGGGCTAACAGCTGCCTCCGGGCGCTGCAGTCTTCAGCAGGAGACGTGGGCTAGGCAGCCTGGGTGCTCAGTTAGCTCACCGTATGCTTTAGCTCTCTGTGGGGAAGGTGCTAAATTTATAAAAGCGTTAGTCATTTGATGCTTTGTATGCAATTTACGTAGTACACATAGATGACTTAAGTTATGCAGGAATAATCATTGTGTGACCTTGCATCATTTAGAGCCAAGCAGGAGGACAACACAGAGGGTGCCGCGTCAGCCGAGGCTCTGGCTCACCTTCTGAGCGACCTGCTGCAGATCTTGATTTTACTGCACACAGTGCGTTAGCTCTCCCTCCGGTCACCAGCCGTGCTGCTGCAGTAGTGACATGGAGCAGCGTGCAGGGCAGCATGTCGGCGGCCGGTGGCCGAGCTGCAGGACACGACTGGCCTGAGTCTCTCTGAAGTTCACATTTCTCAGAGAGCCGCAGATATCTTCGACGAGGCCGTTTACAGTTAATCCACGTATAAAAGTGCAGTTTTCTTCTGCGTTTAGAGCAGCAGCATGTCCCTTCTGTCCTTTCTGAGAATTGGAGCCACAGCGATGTGGGTGGGACCTCGCTGCTCTTCATGAAGGCGGCCCTTTCTCACGTAGCTGTGCCTTCAATTTCCCGTTTCCTCCAGACAATACGTACGTGTCAAGCTCAGAAAATGACGAGGACGTGCTCGTCACCACAGAGCCGATTCCAGTCATTTTCCATAGAATCGCAACAGGTAAGAATAACACGGTATTTTCTTACCTCAGGCTTATTTTTCCAAATTGTATCAGCTTTGGGGTTTTTGTTTGTTTGGTTTTCTTTTTTAGTTTGTATTAAAAATACTTACCTTTAACTCCTCTAAGTCTGGTTTTCCATATCAACTTATCGTCTAAAATGCATGAAATTGTTGAAAAAATGTTTTTTGAAATGAATGTTTCACAGTACTTTTTAGAAACTTTGCTTAGGTGTATTATGTTGACAGTTTCTCTTGTAAAAAATTTCCCTCTTGGGGCGGGGAGATGGCTCAGGGGATTAAGCCCTTGCCTGGCAAGTGCAAGGGCCTGAGTTCAATCCCTGGTTCCGCAAAAAAAGAAAAGAAAAGAAAAGAAAAGAAAAATTACCTCTCATGGTGACACAGTTAACAACATGAAATCCATGCAGTGAAGATACCATGAAATTTATGGTGAAAGAAATCTGTAACTTCTAAGCTAGTTGGATCATCATTTTTATGCACAGTAAGAAGTCAGAACAGCTTGCATATTGTGTTTTTTTCCCAACCATAAAATTTGAAAACATACTTTAAACTCTTCCAATACAGGGAATAACCTAAAGTTTTTCTTAAATAAGGAAGTTTATTAACATTTGATTAAATAACTTAGCGAAAACTAAAATAATTTTTCCAATTTATACTTTTCAGAATTAAGAAAAACAAATGACATTAACTGTTGCTTATCCATAAAATCGAAATTGCAAAAGGAAAACGGGGAGGTATGTACGTTATATTCCTTACTTCGTGAGAATAGCGCGGTTATGTTTTGAATTTGCCCGGAGTCTGCAGCCGCCTTCTCCGTGCTGCACGCGGTAGCTGTGTGCGGCCCAAGAGACGTAAGTGTGTGCTAGGCCCTGGGAGGTGGGGGCCGGCCTCGCGTTAGCTTTGGGGGTAAGCTCCGCTCCCTGTGCAGTAACAGAAGCAGACAGACGCTTGGCTTAAATCTAAGTGAACCGCCCACGAAGTGTACTCTGTGCTTTCATCCAGTAATGCCGCAGAGGTGGAGCGCTTGTGTGTCTTCTTGTTAGTGACTGCACGTCGTGATCTCTTAACCAAAGCACAGTGAGGGCGGGCACCTAAGGTGTCTGCTCATTCACCGCTTTTCTTTTGAAAAATTCATTTTAAATTGATGAGTAAGTCCAGGCACATTGAGCCGGGTGAGTGCGGCGGCAGGGCTCCTTCCCTGAGCCGCTGTCCTTGGTGCTGCACCCTCCTTCCCCTGGGCTTCGGAGAACCACTGCCTGCACAGAACTGCTCCACCATGAATTTTCATTATTGCTACTTTGGACCCAGAACAGATGTGATTCAGCTCATTAAAAGCTTAAACTGCAAAGTAAATTTTATTAACTATACTTCTGAATTCAGAATAATAAATAATTTCCACATACTGGAAGTTCTATTCATAATATGACTCATATTTTCATAATTTGATTTTCATATTATTACATTCAAAGTTTCTTTTAGATTATTGTTTAGAGTTGGCAATGGAATTAAACAGTCTGAGATAAATAATGCTGAGGAACTTTTTAATAAAAATTGAATTAATATGAGCTTGCCAAATGTTTAATCAGCAGAGCTGAAGATGTAATTGATTATACATAGTTTTTATATGTATCAAATATTAATTTGAAAATACTAATTTCAGTGAGCAAAAACTTTAAAGAAATTTATTTGAATAATAAAACAAGCTGAGTGAATGACGTGAAGCTGTCACTGTCTTTTGTTTTGGGGTTGTACTTCACCAGGGACATTCTATATGTAAAGTCTGTACCTGCCCCCAGACTGGCCGCTTCCTACTCTATTTGCAAGAGAAAGCAAACTACTGGGGCAGTTAAGTTTGTCTTCTTACTCTGTTGTATTAGGAGTCAAGACAAAATAGTGCAGTGGAGGAAGATTCGGAAGGGGATAATGATTCCGAAGAGTTCTATTATGGAGGACAGGTAAGCAAACTCGTCTTTCAGATCTGTGGTGTCAGGTGAATTCAGACCCGCTGCCTGTGTCCAAGTGGGAATTTGTGCCCAAGGTAGGAGGCACAGGAGTAGGAGAGTGTTGTTTAATTAGCCAGAAAAATCTGTGTAACTTCTGTGTTCATTTTTCTACATACTCTCAGACATTAAGATCATTTTTAGAAATCTTTTTATTATGATTACTTACCTTCACATTGTCTTAAATCATTAGCGAGATTTTGCAGATAACATTTCATTCAAGAAGCTCTGCAGAGCCAAGTGTGTTGGTGCACGCCTGTGATCCCAGCACTCAGGAAGCTGAGACAGGAGGATCGATGGGAGTTCGAGATCATCCTGGGCTACAAAGTGAGCTTAAGGCCCGCCTGACCTGCATAGCAAGACCCTGTCTAGAAGTTCTGCAGAAAATGGGCCTTATAATTCACTGCTGTTAACACTTAACATTTCCTCAGCGTTCAAATTATCTGATTTTAGCCTTTAAAGTTAATGAATTATACTAGCCCAGGAACCTCAGTGGAAATACCACTGACCTGTCTCGGTCTTTAGGCGAAGCCCCGCACGTTCCCGGAAGCGCGCAGGGCCAGAGCTGCCCGCTGTTGCTTCTGCCCAGCGTTCTCCCCTAAGTCCCTGGCGAATCACTTCCAGGTCAGCTACGACGGTGAGCTGCACAAGCACCCTCAGCTGGAAGCAGATTTGTCTGCAGTGAGAGAGATTTATGGGCCGAACGCAGTTTCTCTCAGGTAAGGGAACACCTTTTGTGAATAAAAATTAATGAAACCTTTTTTTTTTTTTAATTTTTATTTGGTGGCACTGGGGATTGAAATCAGGGCCTTCTGCGTGTAAGGCAAGCACTAGAATTAAATTAGCCTAGCCTAGAGTTAAAGCAGTTTTTGGAGGTCACTTAGAGGAGCACGTGTTAGGCAGATTCTGGTGTGCGCGTGCTGGACGCTCGCGGCTGCTGTCGTGTGTGTGGCTCCCCTTCCGGACTGCCCCAAGGCCGTTCGTTGTGGGGCTTGGAGACATGCTAGTGCGCAGAGTGCCCTGAGTAATTACTGTAGTAGACCTGGCCAGCCGCTCCGTGCTGTTACTGTACATCCAGGCCACAGCCTGCCCTGCACACAGTAAGGTAAAGAACTTAAACCTCAGCTGTCCCTGCCACATGGCCGTCTGGTCTCCGAACCAGAAGACTCTGTAGCTCTGTAGAGCGTGTCAACAGTACTGTATTTTATTCTGCCCTTATGTTTAGTGATAAAATGTATTTACCATTTAGTCATTCAAAAGACCTTAGGATTCTTACTCACCTTTCCTTTTTCTCTTTCATGTAAGACAGAGACCCTTTTGTCGTTGAATTAGCTCGCAGGCAAGTGCTGTGGTGATGACCTCAGCTTCCTCCGACTCCTGCTGTGAGCTCAGGCCCCGCCCCCACCTGACCTCCTACTCAGGGTTCCTGTGGCAGGCTCCTGTGGCCAGGCTCCCTCCCGTGGCCAGGCTCCCGTGGCCCCTCCTGACCCAGCTCTCTGGTCTGGATGTTCCCCTCCAGTGCCCGCTCCTCCGCATCAGGGTCGGTGCCCTGCCTGGACTCCCTCCTGTTACTTTGAATCCCGGGCTCCCACACTTCCTGTCTCAGTTACTGCACAGCCTGTGGTTTTTCCTTATTGATTACGTGTCCTCTCTCGTTTGAATTTTATGCCTGTTAAGGCTTTTTCTTCATTTGGTTTCACTTTTAACCGTTCTCTTCTGACACTTAGCACAGCATGGGGATGCCATGAAACACAGGGTTCGTGGTTTCTTGATTCTTTCCATGGCAGTGTCTCTCAAGAGCGGAGCGCATCATTCTCTTCAGTGGGCATAACCAGATTTTGAGAGGGTGAACAGATATTTTTAATTGGGAGGTACCGCCTGGCTGTAACTTATAGCTGCCAAGTTCATTTAATTGCGGAAGCGTACCACACTACCAGCTGTAGCCTAAGTGAGCTGGGGTTGTGTCCCCATATCTTCTGTACCCACCGGACTTCTGTTGCAGAATCCAGGAGCTCAGGGACACCAGCCTGGAGCAAGGAGGGCTTATTTCCAGGACTTTACATGCGCAGTGACCCAGCAAGGGCTGGGCGTTTGGCTGAGGGGTTTGGCCTTTCGGACCTGGGGTGCAGGGCAGGCGGGGGCACAGAAGCAGGTGAGAGTGCAGACTATTCATAACAAACCCTGGAGAGAAGGCGGAGCTGGTGCATCCTGCGGGAACCAGATGACACCGACCCTGGTAAGGGGACACAGTTGTCTTGCTTCTCTGTGCCAGGACAAGGACTTCGAGCACAGGCGGGTGGAGGGCGTGTGAGGGCGACTGCTCTGTCCGTCACTCGTACGCGTGGAGCGTTTTGCAGATGAGCTGTTAAGTTGCATGTTCATGTCTGCTTGGCTGTAGGTGTGTGGCTGCTCAGTAGGGTCGCTCACGCGGACCAGCAGCACAGGCGCTAAGCAGCCCAGGGAGGCCGCTCCTTGCAGTGAGTGGGCTTTGTGTACATGCTCAAGTCTCTTAAGCTTAAGACAGTGATTTAACATCCTGCAAAAAGAAGAGGTTTTCCAGTGTCATAAAATGCTAAAACAGTGTAAAAGTCAAGGTTTTTTTTTTTTTTTTTTTTTTTTTTTTTTTTTTTTGTTTAAAGTATGTATTTTTGTTGTGGTACTCAGCGGATCATGGTAAGCCCTGTCTGTACAGATTGCTATTGTGCTTAAAAGTTTTCTCATTAAGCATTTCTATGTTGTCTAGGCTCTATTTGTCGCGTCGTGTTTATAGGAACTGTTTCCTCACCAAGCACTTGTTAAGCACCTATGGTGATTGGTATTAGAAGTTTCTACTATCTGCAGTATTACTGGTAATTACTAGAATTAAACTTAGATAAATGTGAGGAATATTAGTTAAATGAAGAACCTGCAGTCATAAAGGTCTGGATTCCTACCTTTCCTATTTTAGGTGTAACAGGTTTGATGTAGGCTGGCATGGATATGAGCCGTGTTTGTGCCTGCTCTAGATTTTCTCTAAACAGCTCTCATGGGGTAAAGGTGAATCATGGCGACAGTGGCTTGATTTACTTAAATAAAAATGAACTTACTTTCTAGACTCACATACTGGGAGTTTGACACATGGGGCAGCGGGGGAGTTAGGCCCGAGTCTTGGAATTGGCTTCCTTGCAAACTTCTAAGTCTGTTGGAAACAGGCTGTTCTAATTAGCTGTTCTTTTACTTAATTGAGGCTCATAAGAACTTAATGGACTTTGAAAAACAAAAGTAGCTCAGTGTGCACAATGCACTCTTTGGTGTCATGTTTTTGAAGGCAGAGTCTAATGAGAAAAGCAGCTAACCACATCTAAGGTTTTATTTATTTATTTATTTATTTATTTATTTTTAAGAGATGGGAATAATGAATTGCCTAGATTGAGGGGGAAACTCTTAAAAACAGGGTAAAAGAAAGTATAGAAAAAATGACAGGTGAAACGCTAATTATTATTTAAGCAGCCATGGAGCTTTCACTGGCCCTGTTACCCAGAAGCAAGGCAAGGGTGCTGTGGAGCCACACGTGTGCACGCTGGTGACAGCTTCAGTTTGTAGTTGTCTTTACACAGTTTGCATGAGTACATGTTTGCGGTGCACGGTGAAGGCGCACAGGGAGCTGGGGCGCGTCCCCTGTCCCCCCCACCTCAGGTGCCTTCTGGTTTGTGAGGGGCTCACCTCCTTGCTTCCCGTCCTCTTTATTGTGCTCTTACACTTTTTTATACTTTGGTTTTCTCATGTAAGCGAGGCCATGCAGAATTTAGCCTTCTGTATCTGATTTTATTTTATTTTTTTAAATTTTACTTATTTATTTATTGATTTTTAACAAAATCTCAAAACAAGATTTTAGGAGAGTAACAATGGTTAGTACATTGTGTATTGTTACTGCCAAAGTAGTTTCTCATATTACAAGATATA